CCCAGCCCGCGGGGCTTCTTCAGAGTGTGGTGCATGGTGGTTGGACAGGTGGCGCAGGCGGCCATGCTTGGGGCGGCCAGCCTCGGCGGCGCCTGGCTGGGGCGCTGCCCAGGCTGCCCGCCGCCCGCGGCCTGCCCGCCGCCGCTGGCGTGCACTGCGCCGGCCCTCAGTTGCCTGCAGGTGGCGCCCACCTGCTCCTCGCCGCAGCCGCTGAGCTGCCCCCGGGCGACCTGCTCGCCCCCCTCGTGCCCGCCTCCGCAGGCGACGGCGCGCGAGGAGGCCGCGCCGCCGTGCCCCTCGTCGGCCCGCGAGGGCGCGGGTGGGCCGAACGCCTGGAGGGCGTGCCTCCCGATCTGGGTTGCGGTGCTCCTGGCGGCGAACTGCTGGCGCAGCGGGGCCGCCTGCTCGCTGTGCGCGGGCGGGGGGCGCGCTCGCACGGGCGCGCGCTGCGCTGGCCGCCGCTGCCCCGGGCGACTGGAGTGGTGGACTGGGTCGTTTCGACGCCCGACGGAGGCCAGCGCGTCGAGAGCGTGCAAGGCGGCCACCCCGCAGACGGCCCCGTGGAGTGGGTCGCCCAGCTGCTGATGGTCGACTGTCACGCGGTTTTGCCGATGCCGTCCATTCGTTCCCCGCGGGCGAGTTGGGCGACGACCTCCTCGCGAAGTTGTTCGCTCGCGCGGCCGCCCTGGCCGCGGAGACCGCCCGGGCCGACGGGGCGACGCCCGCCGACTGCCCCGCCGTGGGCCGCATCCGAGGCCGGCGCGCCGCAGCCGAGGCCCTCCTTGGAGCGGCTTTCGCGCAGCCGAGCATTCGGCTCGGCGATGCCGGGGGCGCTGGCGCATCCTCGGGGGGCGCCGACGGGGCGGTCGTTCGAGGGGCCGAGACGCCACCTGCTGGAGTCTGGAGGGTGGCGGAGGTAAACAGCGCCCTGGGCCTTGGCCTCGGTCTCGCGGTGACGCCTGTGACCGTGTCCATGGGCGTCAGGGGCGTCTATGCTCCGATCGGCGAGGGCGGGGTGTTTGTGGAGTTCAGCGACGAAGAGGCGCTGGATTCCATGGCTAGGCTTGCCCCGCGAGGTAGAGCCGAGGTCCCGAAGCCCCAGCCCGACGTCCGCACTCGCCCCGCGAAGCACGACCCTGGCGGGCGCATGCGAGACTGGGGGGATGTCGCTGACAATTGCGCGCAGGAGGAGTTCGAGGATGTCCCCTTGAACGGGCCAAGGAGCATGAGTCGGTATTTGTCGTTCCTTCATCGGTGGCATGCGCCTCTAGATCGCCGCTCGATGTTTCGCGGTGCCTGCTCTTTGAAGCCCGAGCAGTGGGGCGTCGCAGAGCACGAGGCCCTGCCCCGCATCGTCGAGCTGGCGGGCCAGTGCGACCAGCTCGACATCGGCAACTCGGCGCGCATGGATGCCGCGGCGAGGCGCGCGCAGACTATCGAGTGGGCGCGCCGCGACAAGATCAGAGAGACAGACGCTGGTTCGAGCACCTCGACGACGAGAACAAGCGGAGCAAAATGCTTCTCGCTTGGAAGCCGCGGTTCTGGTGCGACGCCCTGGAGATCAGTTGACAGGCCGTCGTTGAGATGGAGCGGTTCTTTTTGCAAGTAACGTTTGAGTTGGTGATATGTACGCCCATCAATGCTCGTCGTCTTCTGAGTGGCGTTAGGCCACGCCGATATGCAACGTATGTTATGACTGACGTCTTGGCGCACTCCTCTGTTTTTCATTATTGGCTCATGTTGTCTCACCGTGCGCGCGCCTTTCGGCGCGCTGCCCCGTCTGCCCTCGAAGGGGCCGGCCCGGCCGCGGGGCCGGCGCGCGGACCGACCGACCGACCGACGCAAACCAAAGCGCCCCAACCACGACGCCCCAGGCCCAGCGATGACACCCCGAGCCCTCCCTGAAGCGCCCGGTTCCGACGGATGACGGAGGCGCGACGCGGGGCGGGGCCGAGAAAGGAAGAGCGATGAGGAGGGGGGGGGGAGGGGGATCCATCCCCCAGCCCCCTCCATGCACGTTTCCCGGGGCCCCCCCGCGCGCGCGCGCTCCGGGCGCTCAATCCGCCGCGGGCCGCGGCCCCAGCGAGCGGTCGCAGCGCCGTCGGTTGCCGGCAAGCCCGCGCTCGAATCGCCCTCGTCGCCCTCCCCCTTTCCGAGGGGGGGCGACGAATCTGTCGCGGCATCTCGCTGCCACCCGCGCCGCGTTGCCGCGTCCTCTCGGGGGGGGGGGCGGATGGTGACCACGGTGACTCCTCGTGCTTTTACGTGGATGACCTGACTGCAATTTGCGGCGGTCAAGGGGCGTTTGGGGCTGCGGCCGCAGCGGAAGCCGCGCAGGGGGTGGCCGCTGTGCGCGGCGTGATTGCTAGACATTGGCTAAACATGAGTCTTGACAAGACAGTGCTCATGTTCTTTCTCGCGGGCACAGGCGCGCAAAGCGTTGCTGACCGAGTCGGGGGTTGGGCGCGGCGAGGCCTCGAGGTTCCTCATCATGGCTCGCGCGTGACTGTTGTTCGACAGCAAGTTTGCCTTGGCTCGTTGTTAAATGGCAACTTTGAGATGGGCCCGGAGATAACGACGCGCGCTAGCTCTGCTCGGGGTCTCTCAACGGTTCTCTGTCACCCGCGTGGCCCTTTGCTTGAAAACAGAACGCAGGTCCGCCGAAGCCCGTGCAGGGCCCAAGTTGCGGTTCGACGCGTGGGCCTGGGCAAGACAGTCCAATGCCGGAGATGTGGAGTTTGCTCGCGCTCGCGTTTTTGCCTTTCGAGCATCTACGCGAATTGGGCCTTTGAAGTCAGGGGGGGGGAACAAGCCCCCCAGGCGGCCGCGTTGCATCGGGCGAGAAGGCTGCCGGCAGATGTCGCGCTCAAGATTGCGCGGCTGAGGTATTTTTCCAAGATTGCTCAGGCGTGGGCCGCCAGCGCCCAGGCACGCGCTCGGCGCCCTCATCGGAGTGACAGGGAAGTGGACGGATATACTTTTTAACGACGTTCGCTGGCTGCAGGAATTAACGCTCGAAGTGGGCACTGCATCTGATGGAAGTATTCACGCATGGACGGGGTTCGCTCGAGATTGCTCCAGGTGATTTCAGACCGGGCTGCGTCCTGCAGCTGCGAGAGACTTGAACTTCCGGGGGGATCAGCAGGGATTGGGGCTTTTTCGGCAAGGGATAGATGAGATCAGTGCAGAGGCAGGTCTACAAGAAGCAAAGCTGCAGGATGAATCTCAAAAACAGAATTGCGCATGCTACGATTTCGAATTTCACGCCGAGGTTTTAGCTTTCCATCGAGGCGTGAACGTGCAGGATTTGCTTTTCTGGCACGCGGTGCCAAATCTGCGTGGAGGAATTTCGCTCGTCAGGCTGGCCGTTGAAAACGTGTCATGGGCAGTGCCAAGTGCAAGCAGTCATGGGGTGAGATAGCCAATCCCAGTTGGTTCACTGAAGCAGAGGAGTAGACCCATCTACGCGCAGCAGTACAGCAACGCAAATGCACGAGGAGAAAGAGATGCCCTCAGGGGCAAAAGACGCAGCGCCGAAGGAAGCCCAAGGGCAGGAACGTTTTCCCTGCATCTGTTCTCAGGGATGCGGAGGGAAAGAGGGTGTGCAGGATCATCTAGGGCAACTCATGGGGGAAAGGTATCCGGATTTTATTTCAAGCGTTGATATCATGCACGATGCAGAAGTGGGGGATTTGGCGAACGGGGGCGCCGTGGCCACATGGATGCGCCTGCTCGCCGCAGGAAGAGCGACCTGAATTTTAGAAGGGCCGCCGCGCGAGACATGGCCCGCAGACTGATGCAGAACTGCGCCAGGAACGCAGGATCCTCCGAGACCGCTGCGAGGCGCAGCGCGACCTCGGGGGAATATTCTGAATATTAGTGAGTTGTTACCGCTGCTGGTGGGCAACATACTGTTGCGATATGCTTTATTGTTAGCCTACATGGCCTTCTTGGCGGGGACCCCGATGATTATTGAACGCCCTGCCCCCCTGAACACTTGTCAGATGCACCGTGTATATGGAAGTTGGAAGAAGTACAGCATCTTGCTCGCGTTGGTGGCAGTCAGGCAGAAGTTCTTCGGATTGATCAGTGTATGCTCGGGGCCCCAAGCATTGAGCCTGCGTACTTGATGGCCCATAGGTGCACTGCCCTGAAGGAGCTGCTAGGGCGCGTGCCGAACCGCGCCAGGCGTGATCCTGGGTATGCCCGCCAGACCTCGGAGGGGGGGACTGCCGAGGGGAGGAGGAGGACCTCGGAGGCCACGACATGTCCATCGAGGATGTGCATGGTGCCGGCAGCTAATTCTTCCATAATTAGACCGAGTGATGCGTGCTGATGAGAGTCGCGTGCATGAGCAAACGGAATACACTCCATTTTATGTGCCGTTGGATCCGCGCATGTCTCGCGAGCTAAGGGCTGATTTCGCGGGATTCAATGGGCAGGCACCGATGAGTTGGGCGCTCACCCCTGATGTCATCTCGTCGTCGTCGTCGTCTCCCTACTGCACTGTGCATTGCCCGTTTTTTTGGCACGGGCTGCGCCTTCGGATTTCGAAATTTTAATCCCGGCCAATCAACCGTCCGAGGATGAGGAGGAGGAGCAGTGACGGGGGCGAAAGGCTGCCCCCCAGAGAAGGGGGCCGCGCACGGAGCAAGAGCATGTCGTCGGAACTTTGGGCCCTCCGCATCTCTGGGCTTCCATGCAGAAGGGCTCTCGTCGTGGCGGCCTCGGGGCTCTGGCCAGAGCGCGCCCCAGGAGAGGTCTGCGGGGAGCAGCGGTGTCTCGGGGGCGGCCAAGAAGGGGGTGATGCCTAGAGGTGTGCGGATATCAAAGCGGGGGCCATGATATCTCCCCAGACTTCATGGCGCCTTTTCTTATTTCAATACGTCCCCCCCCCCCCCAGGGTCGCGCACACGCCGCCCGCCATGACTTGCGCCCCCTCTCGTGGACGCCCCCCTCTTGGACGCCCCCGGGTGTGGGCGCCTCTCTGTTCCGCCGAGGATGCGGCGGGGTCCCCGTCCACGTCGTGCGAGCGGCAGACGGAAAAGGTCGTGGCGCGCACGCTGACGTTGGCGTACGTCCTCGTTTTCGCTGTCGAGAGCCTCATGAAGCAGTACGCGCTCAGCAGGACGCCCATCGTTATGGGCACGATGAACCTCATGACCTTCGTGCTCGGGGCGGGCCTCGCCAGCTGCATGACCCTGTGGCAGGAGGGCGCGGCAATGCTGCGATGATGACGATGACGATGATGACCACCTGACGATGACGACGACGATGACGCCGACCCTGTGGCAGGAGGGCGCGGCAATGCTGCGATGATGACGATGACGATGATGACCACCTGACGATGACGACGGCGATGACGCCGACCCTGTGGCAGGAGGGCGCGGCAATGCTGTGGAAGGCGTGGCACCCGGGGCGGATCCTGAAGTTCTTCCCTTGCGGGGTCCTGTTCGCGGTCCTCCTCCTCCTCCTCCTCCTCCTCCTCCTTGTCCTCCTCCTCCTCCTCCTCCTCCTCCTCCTTTTCCTCAAAGAAGAATAACAGTTTAGAAGACGGCACCAAACATCAACTCTCGAAGGTCAGCGCGGATCTCTTCAATTGGCGCTGGACAACACCGGGAGACGCCGCTAGCGCCGCTGTTTGCGCGTCCCGCGCGTCAGAAGGGTCTAGCGCCGACCCACGACATCCGCGCGGGCCTCCGAAAGTTTCCCGACATGTGCCCAACCCTTGCCCGGCGGTAGGTATTCGTCTTGGTATCGTTTTTGATGGTCCAAGGTCGATCATGCGCCCCAGAGGTCGAAATCGAAGGAAATTCAGTACGACATTTTCTCCATCGAGTCCACAAATCCGGCTATGCCGCCGCCCTGTTTGTTTCGACGCGCGGTTTTCCGACGTGGGGGGGGGGCGCCTCGGTCACTAGGGCAAACGCCGCCTTGGGCGCAGGGCTCGCCGCGGGGTTTGCCGTGATGCCTGCTTCGTCCACTTGGGCGCGGGACGCAAGGTACGCGTGGGTTTGCCGTGGAGTCGGCGTCGTTCATTTGGGCGCGTCGAGAACAAACGACGCGGCGACATCTGCTCATGCTGGTTCATCGTCCGCCAGGTCTCACAGGCCGTCGTGTTCACGGCGTATGCCCTCCACGTTCCCGCTTCCATCGTCACGGTCCTCGGTTTCGTCTACACGCCGATCTCGGCGCTGGGCAAGCGCTGCATGTTGGGCAAGGTCACGAAAACCACAACATGGCATATCTATATAAATTTCATCCATCCATCCATCCATCCTCCCCCTCCTCCTCCTCCTCCTCCTCCTCCTGTCGCGCTCCGCGCGCCAGGAGAAGGGGGGCCAGCGACTACCCGAGGAATCCGTGCCACCAAGGTTTCCAGACATCCGACGATGTGAATTTTCAGTCGGCGGCCCCAGGGTCCCGATCCCTTCCCCAGGGAGAGCTTGCTGTCCCGGATCTATTGGTGATGGTCCCAGGGTCGATACTCGGGAGCGGAAAAGAGGGGGGTGATGACTAGGGGGGGGTGGATATCATGGCGGGGGCCATGAGATTTCCCCAGATTTCGTGGCGCCTCTTCTTGTTTCATTACGCCCCTGGCCCCCCCGCTGGGCCGCGCACATGCCGCCAGTCATGATTTGCACCCCCCCCTTTTGGACACCCCCCTCTTGGCCGCTCCCGACAGGGTCGATACTGCGCCCCGGAGGCCGAAATCGATGGGAAGAAATTACCCACACAAGGCTTGCCCTGAGGGTTTCTCACGTCGGATTCTTGAGATTACCGGCCTCGAACGTATCCCTATCCCTAGGATTGACACGCCAAAAGGCGATGACAATCTCAGGGATTCGCCCTCAAAAAATAAGGGAATCCCTAAGATTGGCATCGTGATGAGGAGATGCCCAGCATAGGGATAGGGATATGTTCCAGGCTGGTAATAAGAGAGTTCACAAGGGACGTCGGAGTCTCGCCACGCTGCGGCTCCGCGCAGCCTCGTGGGCGCTTCGCGCGGAGGGTGTATGTCGGATGTGCGTTGCGTACGTCGGACTTGCGCCACGCTGCCGCGTGTGCCGCCCTTAGTGGGCCCTGGAAACGACAGGGCCGTTTTTTTACCGGTTCCGTCTTGCCGTTTTTTTTGTCGGTTCCGACGCCGTTTTTTTATACTGGTTCCGTCGCCGTTTTGTTGACTGGTTCCAGTTCTGATTCCACTCCTGGAGCCGTTTTTTTTGCCGTTTCCAGTCGCCGTGTTTTTGCCGCTTCCATTTTCAAGGGACGTGTTTTTGGGAAACGGTGAAACATCGGCCCTGCCGTTTCCGGGGCCCACAAAGGTGCCGCCTCGTGGGCGCCACTCAGGAGGGGAAGAAACACACAGACACAATTAATCGTCGATTCCCAGGAAAATATGCGAAAATATGGGAAGTGGTGGGGAAGACAAAAACCCAGAAAATATGGAAAAATATGGGGAATATTTTTATTTGTGTGTATTTATTTGTGTGTCCCAGGGCCCCTTTAGCCACGTTGCAGCTTCGTGGGTGCCCCGTGCTCTGGGCCTACACGATCTAGCTTTCGCGCTATGCCTTGGACCGCACAGCTGGCACCACATAGTTTGCACCGCACGTGTTGCGCAGCGTAGCTTGCATCACATAGCTTACAGCCATAGCTTTCACCTCCAGTTCACACCGCCTAGCTCACACGACATGGCTTGCACCGCATGGCTTGCACCGCATAGTTTTCACCTCCACGGTGCACTAAGGCACTGTTTGGGGTCGACGCTGGCTAACCTTGCATGTTTAGGCCGTCAGGCTTTTATCATTCTTGCGCAGGAGGAGGAGGGGACGAGGAGGCAGGGAAAAAAGGGAGGAGGCAGAGAAGGGTTGAGGCGGGAGGAGGGAAGGGGAAAGGAAGGAGGTGGAGGGAGAGGAGGATGGACGGACGTATGAGGAGGAGGAGGAGCAGGAGGAGGAGGAGGCAATGTTTTTTTTCCGGTTCTTCTTCTGAGGTCACCATGTGGCTCCAGTGGGTCGCGCTGACCATCACGACACTGGCCTCCATGACCTTCGGCTTCCTGCAGAACGTGGCGCCCGCGCACGGTGCCGATCCCGTCGGCCTGCCCGGACTGGTCTGCGTCATCGTCTCTGCGACGCTCGCGGCGTTCGGGTCTTTGGCGATGGAGAAGTTCTTGAAGGACCTCGGAAAGTCGGCGTGAGATTCTTTCAATCGCTGCGTTTGTCTTTCATTTTGGCCCCCCATGCGGCCGTTTGTGGCTCTGGTCCATCAAAGACAGACCCCGGGCGAAACAGGTCCACCAGGGAAGGACTGGAGGGAGAACGCATGACTTCGGGCGACTTTCGTTGATTTCGGATCCTGGCGCGCATCGGGCTCCAAGGCTACCAAAAACGGACCCTGGACTCCCAGGCAAGGGATCGGCCATTGAGCCTCTGGGGTCGCTTTTGAAAATCACATCGTCGGATGTCTGGGAACCTTCGGAGGTGCGCGCGGGTCTCTTGTGCCAGCGCTGCGTCCCCACTCCCTGGCGTGTGGAACCCGCCACGGGCGGCGCCGAGGCACCGCCCAGTGGGGGCCCAGCGCCGACCCAAGAAATCCGCGGACCTCCGAAGGTGCACAGTCGAGACGTTGGAGGGGAAGAGTGGCCACGCTGCGCGCTCTCGGCTGTGGGTCGGTCCTTCGGTCCTCGGGTCCCGAGGTCCTCAGGTCCGGGCCGGTCCTCGGGCAGGTCCTCAGGTCCTCCGGTCCTCAGGTCCTCAGGTCGGGAGCGGAAAAGAGGGGGGTGATGACTAGGGGGGGGTGGATCTCATGGCGGGGGCCATGATATCTCCCCAGGTTTCATGGCGCCTCTTTTTGTTTCATTACGACCCTGGTCCCCCCGCTGGGCCGCGCACATGGCGCCGGTCATGATTTGCGCCCCCCCCTCTTGGACACCCCCCTCTTTTCCGCTCCCGATTAGGTCCTTAGGTCCTTAGGTCCTCAGATCCTCAGGTCCTTAGGTCCTTAGGTCCTTCGGTCCTCGGTCCTCAGGTCCGGGCCGGTCCTCGGGCCCGGGTCGAGGAGCCTGCTCGTGGCCGAGGCTCGCCGTGGCCCCTCCCCCCCCCCCCTCCTCCTCCTCCTCCTCCTCCTCTTCCTCCTCCTCCTCCTCCTCCTCCTCCTCCTCCTCCTCCTCCTCCTCCTCCTCCCTCCTCCCCCTCCTCCTCCTCCTACACCTCCAGTGGCGCGTGTTCCTCGAAGGACGAGCACGACAGCTTCTACGTCCAGAAGGTGTCGCTCGACGTCGGCAGCGTGCTCACGAGCGTGGTGCTACTGCCGCTGTCCGGCGCCATGTCCGAGCGCCCGCGGGACGCCTTTTGGCGGGAGCGGCCCCTTGGCGAGTGCCTGGACGACGGCTGCTGGGGGGAGGTGCCGAAGAGGAGAATGCCAGGGGAGGAGGAGGTAATGTCCGACACTGGCCTCGTCCTCGTCCTCGTCCTCGTCCTCTTCCTCCTCCTCCTCCTCCTCCTTCTCCTCCTCCTCCTCCTCCTCCTCCTGCTCCTCATCCTCCTCCTCCTCCTCCTCCTGCTCCTCTTCCTCCTCCTCCTCCTCCTCCTCCTTCCCCCAGTCGAAGTGCAGGAGATAACATCATATGCAGTATACAGTGAGTGAGGATGCAGCGCCTGCCGCCGCCGTTTGGTTCGCAGGACGCGTCCAGAGCGATTGGATTCGTGATTGAATTCTATGTGCATGCATGAGGTAAAAGCTTGATTTCTTTTCGTCTTGCCATCACCAGGCTGGCGCCGATCCCGCCAAGGTCAATCGACCTTGGTAGCGGAGCTGCGGCTCCTCCACGGCAGGCACGCTGAACATCACTGCGCTACGGATTGGACTTGGTAGTTCACGTTAGTCAGTACAATGCATCTGTCTAACATGAACAATGCTCAGGCGGCTGGTTTTGGTGGCGTGGCAGATCAGACGAGCATCATGGGCACGATGAAGGTGCCCCCAGCGTGGGACTCAAGATGGCAGCGGTTCTATCCTTTCAAGACATGGGCTCGCAATGTGGTCTGGTGGGCACTGGCGTGTGAACTACCAGGGACAGCTCAAGGTGCAGCAGTCATCCTACGTGTAGGTGGGGTGGCCAGGGAGTTGTGCGGCACCTTGGATCCACAGACGGTACGTGATGGTGGCATGAGAGATCTTCAGGACGGATTGGGATTACGTCAGGTGACGGGCCCGGCTATCATATTGCGTGGAGTTCAACGACAGTTCGCCCCACTGGACGTGGAGACTTCGACCTCTTCGATCGCGGAGTTGATGAGTTTCAAGAGGATGCCCGGTGAAGATATCGACACCACATTGGGAAGGTTCTCCAGTCTTCAGTTTCGGGCAGCAGCGGATGGCAATCTGGATCTCGGGCCGAGTGGTTGTGCGTGGCTATTGCTAAGTGGACTGCGTATCCCACCGGCTGAATGGGTCAATCTGCTGATGGGCTTCCGCGGCAACCTTCCAGACACAGAGGAGCAGTTTAATGAGCTGATATCACTCGTGCGACGAGTCGGACATGTCCATCAGCATGGAGGTATAGCGACAACGGCAATGCCAGGTGGACATTTCGGCGGACAAGGACCAGGAATATCACAGCGAGGACATGGACAGGGTCAATACTTCTTTCCGACGATGACGGCTGCGCCTGGACAGATGTGGAACCATAATGACGGCTGGAACACGGGAACACTGATGATGGGCGGAGTTCCGACACCAGCATCGATGACATTTCCGAGGACGGCAGCGCAGCTCTCTCACGGCATGTATGCGACGCAGGAAGAACCTTACGACCTGGATGAAGACAGCAGCAGTGCGACCAGCGGCGACGAGATTCCGCCGCAAGAGATGGAGGCCTATTTGGCAAGCGTGGAGGCCACCTCGAGGGCCGACACATTATGGCATGAGTATATGGTGGCGAGACGCAGATGGAGAACATTCACCAAGAAGCACACCAGATATGATCGTCGGAGTCAGCGACGGCGCAAAGGACGAGGAAAAGGTAAAGGTTATTCTTCATATGGTAAAGGTTTCGCCGGTGGAAGTCAACCACAGGCTTGGAATAATAACTACCATGATAGCGCACAGCTGGGCTACCCGACGTCGTCACAATTCACATGATATAAAGGAGGAAAAGGAAAGCGTCGAGGTAATCCCCGAGGAGATGATGGCAACACAATGACATGTCACCGATGCGGTTCAGACCAACATCTCATTCGAGAATGCCCGGTGCAGTCACAACCAGGAGGACATCGCCATACTGACGGAGGCGGACCACATCAGACATATGTGGGATCAATGTACACTCCTCGCACCGGCCTACTTGCGGGAGTCCAGCTTCCGGCAGCTCAGGTGAGCCATCCAAGGGGACCAGCGGGCATTTTCATGACGACGGAGAGCACAGGTGAGCAGGGGCAGCTTGATAATCATCACTGGTCGGCGGTATCGGTACATGACGATGACAACCCGTGGACGAACTATTCAATATGGCAGAACAAAGGTGCTATGCGAGCCAGTCCCATGGAGCATGATCAGACAGTACGGCAGAGTAAGACGGCATCATCATCAGTATCCGGACGGTGCCGCAGCGCTTTCGACGATCATGGCCAGGATCCCACGCCAACGGAGCACGACCATGGACGACAATTGCCAGCACGGGATCAGGCACGTGATGATCGGGATCAGCATCGACATCGCAATGATCATGAATAATGGCATGCGCGGTCAAAACGAAAAGGGAAGAAAGGCAACAAAGGAAAAGTTATGCAGAGCTACGATGACGATCATGAATACGACGAACATTCTCGTGAGGGGCGGCACTCAGAACGACGGGGCCATCGCGCCAGCGAGCAGAACGTGCGTGACCTCACAGCCATCCTATCCCTCGGCAGCTCAGACACGGCATCGCAGGTGCGGCACGATGACAACGGCATACAGCAGGCGGGAGTCCAGCGTCCACTTGGAGGAGGAGACCGCCCAGGAGCTTGGCCCCGCCCAGAACGCAAGGTCATCGCCGGGACTTTTCAGATCTTCCTGCCGACCTACGAGCAGCATCGTATTCAGGAGACGCGGGAGCGCCGAGGTACATGGCATACCCGAACGAGACTGGGACCACGACGCGAAGGGCTGCTGGTCGATCCTGGAGCACATGGCAATCTCACCGGTTCGGAGTGGGCCCGACGACAGCAAGGACTAGCACAGGAAGCAGGAGTTCAGGTACAAGACTGGCGAATGCCCGAGGTGCTGAATGCGGAGGGTGTTGGCAACGGGCGTCAACAGTGTACGGAGTTCGGACGGTTTCCCACTGCCTTGCCAGCGCAGGAGCACGAGACCGAAGGAACACCAGCGGTGTACACGGCACCGGTGGTGCCTAACTCCAACATACCAGCACTTCTAGGATTGCGATCCCTGCGACAGCTGTGGACGGTCCTCGATATCGTGAACAACAAGATCCATTTCCTGGCACCAGGTGACGCAACTTTCCAGTTACCGCCAGGGACCAGGTCCTATGATTTGGAGGAGGCTCCGAGTGGACATCTTATGCTCCCGGTCAGCGAGTTCCAGCAGCTGGGGGGCAAACACTCGGGAAGTGGAGTGTCGTCGACTCCGGTCACGACGCTCAACCTCTACCACAACAACAGCCAGTGATGGGGCGGCGAGGCGGGCCACCAGGTATCACCGCAACCTGGATCAAGTCCCGCCTTGACCGAGACAGTGAGCGGCGCTGCGGAGGCAACTTCGGTGGCGAAGCGGCCTGGCGACGACAACGTCAGGACTACAGTGACGGGGCAGCCTACAGTGGAACCTCCGTTATTGCGGTCGGATACTTGCGACGTTGGCGGCGAGATGCTCAGACACACTGGTCAGAGCAATATTTCACAGAATTCAAAAAAAATCACAATGCGCAGACATCGCTGGTGATGAAGGCGCTGGCGACGGACATCCCTAACACGCTGGACATCGGCCTCCTTGTCATGAGGAGCCTGGTCTCCAGTATCTTCGCGACGGACACGAGTGTCAGTCCAGTTATCAGTTAGCAGGCGAGGGGCCTGCTCACTCGAATTCGTTACCTCAGCGCTTGGTTCGCAAAGCTTGGCTCATGGGCGATATCGACTCTATTCGCCAACAAGCCTTGCATGAATTTGGGCGCAGACACGGACATCGCATTCAGACCACACATTACGACACTAGGAACCTGATGAGCCTTCACCGATTGGAGCGAGTCATTGGTGAGATGGTGAGGATAAAACCTGATATTGTATGGATTGCGTTGACCGGAGCACCAACCTCATCGATCAACAACCGAGAGCGAAGGCGCGCATGGAATGTGGCTCAGATTGTCATGGAGGCGATCAAGCTTAAGATCAACGTGATCCTGGAGGGCAGTGCGCGGAACATCATGTGGGAAACGAGTGGACTAGTCAGGCTGGACAGTATCTCCCAGATTCATTCACAATCGATACGATGGTGCAGACTTGGAGTTACCCCGGGAAAGGATCGAGTTCCCGCTGGCCAGCACACCAAGATCATGGGCACGCTGAAGCTTCCAGACTGGAATGCTTGTGATCATGGTCAGCATCACCACGAGGCAGAATGTACCATGGATAAAAGTGAGATGCATGAGGCGCGCTGCGACATGATCAAGGCTCCGATGGAGTTTGTGTGGCAACAGATTTTCACGGCGGACAATATCAGCGGTGGTGAGACTATGCTTAACACGACAGAGTCTGACGGACACATGGAGATGTTACCAGAGTCGAATTCACTTGTGAAGCCGGAGACTCTCACGCTGATGAGCTCGAAGACGGTAAGTTTCAATGGCGCAGTCGAGATATACCCTACGGAGGCGAGGATATGACAGAAGGCCAAAGAGAATCAGGTCAAGATTCATAACATGGCGCCAGGACGACCTGAGAAGGCCAAGCAGCGTAACATGAAGGGCTACGAGAAAACATGGAGTGACTGCGGCGACGACATGAGCTCGATCGACCTGGAGATCACGGAGATGTGGCTGGACTACGACACGTCGCTTCTCGGCGGCCATCGATGGCAGCCAGATGGCGTGGATCACGAGTGTGATTGGGATCGAGCATTACACTTTACTGACGCAGTGGGTCTTTGGTATTGATCGTATGTACCAGATCCGGGAGTTGCCAATCGCAGCTTGGCATATACATCAGTCGGTCAGTTACTCGGATGCTGGTTGGCCGACGCCGAATTATAAAATTTCATTGACATTATGGAGATCATGGGAGGTGAAGCTAGAACAACTAAGATGCTTCTACGACGGACACATCACCAGGGACATCACGTTGGACGCAACTTTGATCTTCAATGTGACATTGATCGTTCCAAGGAGAAGGACAGACACGACATGTGGA